AGAGTTTGGAGATGCCAGAATCTGCCATCGATAAAGGCTCGAGGAGAAAGGAATGAGGTTTGATAAGAACGGCGGTCTCGTTGGATTTGACTGGCGGGTATCTGTAATATTATTGCCAGTCGTTTGATATTGATGTAAAAGTGGCAGCCGCCTGAGGAAAATGAATCCTTATCTTTACTTCTGCATCCCGTGCTTGGGAGGCGTGGCGGACGATGGTCTCTATGCTATACGATGCACGAGACATGGCGGAAACGCGATCGGATACCTGCATAAAGTATCAAGACGACTTTGGGCAACAGCTGGGGGCTTGGCTGCACACTCTGAACGCACGAAAACTGTGCATGGAAAGACCGACCATTGACTTGCTGCACGCCCATGCTCCTCGCCCAGACTGGTGAGCGCATGCCAAACCTGGTGCTGCGCAGCACTGAGGAATGCACCGCGCAGCTGGGCGGTCACTCGTCGACGCAGCATCTCACGGTCCCTGATTGTCTAGCAGAGACTGGGCGGATTACACTCACATGCGCTTGCAGTTTCTGCAGCTGCTTGCACGCCGCTTAGATGTTATCCGGCACTGTCTCGCTTATCGCACGCTTTACCTTATCGATCGCTTCTGTAAGATGAGTTCATGTTTGTTGACAAGAGTCCGTAAGCTATTTACGTATTGCTAGGATAGTAACTCGTATGGTACAGATATCATTAATTAAAAACTATTGTAATGTAGAGGGAGGAAGTACATTTTGAGATCCACCCCGTGAACTTGAACCATCTCCTTCACCAACACCAATCCACTTCGAGCACGCCAGTGAGGCTCCCTCGTACGCCCCCAATCCACAGCAATTATGGATAGTCGGTGATTCAGCTCTGTCCCGAAATTACCCTGAATTCTTGAGTAGTATGCCCATTGATGAAGCACTGGGTGCGTTATAACCTATCTTGTGGCTGCCGCCTCGTCGACTAGCGAGAGAGTTGCTACGTAGCAACTGCATCGCCTGGTCAAACCTGATCTCCCCAATCCCACTCTAGCAGCATCGTCACCTTTACCCATTGAGGCTCGTGTATGCTATAGCAAAACAAGCCGTGCTTTAGATCCTTATTGTCAGGACTGACACAAGCAGCAGGTCAGTATTGGGATTGTAAAGAGGTCTCAGGTTATGTAGCGTAAGGATGGTACGTAACAGGCACAAAAGTTATTGTGCCAGACGAATCGCTACTGTTGTAGCGATTCTTACGACTAACCTGCTCCTCTGTGCCTTGGCAAGCTAGGCTAGCTTCAGGCGCTCTGGTCCTGACAGTCAAGACGCGGGTCGTCTGGTACGAGACCCGCCATCAACACACTGTGATCCGGATAGCTCTGGAGCGGCGCATTGGCAAATCGCCCAACCCTATCCAGCTCGCTCCACTGCTGGTGGTAGCCCAGATTGTGTCCTCCAGCCCTACTCCGCTCTCCTGCACACATCTCACAAACACACCTTCTACCGGGGTTTGTGAGCCGGCACCCACACGTCTGGCCACTGCCAATTTTTTCCAAAGTTACTCTAATTGCAGACGACATTGGCGAGAGGATCTTGCGAGCTCATTCTAATGATTTTTGTGGGATCGACATTATGAACAATCGGCTTGTCGTTGATACGCTAGGTCATAGCTCTGTTCGCTATACACCTTCAGACACCAGTGGCCATGAGTTTGGCCCAGCCTGCCCTGCCTTAGCAGTGCCATCATACCGTCCCCACTGTTAATAATGTACCCAAACACCATATCCATGTAGTTCTTGTGGTATGCTCATGAATGGTCGTGCCATGGATCTCGAGCTTCGACAATGCAGTTGTCAGTATTCTTGAATTTTACGAGGCTTCCTGGGCCCCAAATCGATTCCCCGATCGTAGTTGTCGTCATCGAGAAGGGCGTTCCGGACTTCCAAACGGGCACGTCTGACGAAGCACTTACAGGTTGATGAGCTGGAAGTGATTGCTGAATAGGTATTTTTGTACCGGGAGGCCAGAATAGAAGGATAGGTTTTTGGCGCTCTGCCTAGTATAGATCCAAGCTATAATGCATGGAAATGCCCTGTTCATCGTCGTCGAAGGCGCGCACTATCAGACAAAAAATTCCGAAACATCCCGTGGTCTGAATAATAACAATGTCGCATTTCTGATATCCATGCCAGCGAAAAACCTCGGGAGCATTCGGAGCGTTGACTTTCATCCACCTGAGCGTTGCGGGCAACTCTTCCTCGCAGTTATAATCCCATGGTGAAAAGCCAGGATACTTTTTGGGAGAGGCGGTAATGCTTTTTCTGACGGACATGATCGATACAAGTGTGGAAGCAGAAGTGGTGAATTTGTGGATGGAAAGACGTAGGTGACATGCCCAATATATAATTCACGAGAAATAATCTGTGTACGCTTTTTTGGGCGACTTCAATTGGAAGGCAAATTGGGCGCGAACAAAGTGCAGCTTGGCTTCATGCAGAATGAGTCAACGCTACTATAATTAGGGACTGAACAGGCTCTCGCATTAGCAGTGACGTATCGATCTGTATCTGTGCTCGAAAGAGAACGTTATGCCCACGATCATTGGGCAAAGAAACCTTTTGCTGGGGTCCATTGCTTCATGCGGCCCAGAGCGTCAGCATGCCGAAACTCGACCCCTAGCTCAGCCCAAGGACACCACGGCTCCCCTGATTATGATCGAAGAAGGATGACTGCAAGATGCGTCTCCAACGCCTCTGGCCACCGCACGCTCCGAAGCCCGAGTAAGTTGCTAGGAGATCGGCTGCCGTACATCTCCAAGCCAGCAGAAATTGGTTTGCGGGCTCTGCCTATACAGATAAATCATGCTTCTTAACATAGTCTACAAGAAATATGTGAGGGTACCGACCGAGTATCGGTACTTACTGAAATGCGCTGGCTCCCTCTTTTGGGGCCTGAGCTGCTACAACAGAAAAGTAACGTCCAGTCTTTGCCGAGGATTCCGCTAGAGAGCTGTATTTGACCACCCTTGAAGGACACTACAACAAGGTGCAGCCTGATTATCACCCTGTTCATCGGGTTGCGACGAATCAACTAAGTTGGGGCAACAATCAGCCTTCACACCGAAAGGAAGCCATCGATGAATAGGGCCGTAATTCATGCAGACATGGTTGACGATACTGCTGCTGGTTTCGTGTAGCTCTTGTGCTTTCACACCTGCCTCGCAGCGCCGGAAATCTCATCTGCTCGGGCCGCCCTCGACCTCACCGCCTACATACTTCGCCATCGTCGAGCATACTCGCTGGCCGCGCATAAAGAGCGCAACATCATCGTCCCCGATCTAGACTCGTAGCTGTTCGAGTACCAGGATGCTGCTACCGTCTACCCCGTCAAGTGTGCGACAGCATGAACGTCTTCGCCGACCGAGCAACATGCCAGAGCTCGTCCCAGTGCTCCGATAGGGTCGACGGGCCTGAGTCTGCCTTGCATGTCACAGCCGCTGGGGCAGCTGAGGTTGGCGAGAAGAATAGCTGTGGCAGATCGTGGCCTCACTTCGGCTGGAGGTTGCTTCATCAATGCGCCTTGCTGTGCAAGGGTTCTCCTCAAAGCCTTCCAGGTTGTTCGTCCTTGGATCGTGGGGTGTCACAACGTAACGGGCCGATGACACTAACGAAAGACCCAGTCGTGATATCACCATAACCAAGAACGTTCTCGACTGATGGATCATTGAGCTGATGGTCGCACAGCCAGATTCTCCAGACCGTGCAGGCGACCGAGCCACTAGCAGGCATAGCCCATTTACGACAGCGTGGGACTGCGTACGCCTCACCCTGGCCATGTTCCGCTGTCTGCCGGTGAAGTTGTACTTCGAGGACCTAGACACGAAGCAGGGTACGAAGCTGCTGCATGGCTGCGTGACCGCTGCTGAAGTTTTACACAGATCATGATCACCCTTCCCAAAGCTTCATGCTATCGGAGAAAGATGAGGTTGAACGACTGCTGTCTCGACTGCGACAGCTGGTAAGACGTCTCTGGTGGTGTGTGGAGTTTGACCAGCGCAGAACTGCGATGAATTTGATCGGACGACGTCCCACATCTCCGTAGGAAGTTGCGGAAACAAGCTTGGGATGTTGGTGCTTGTCGTGTCTCGAGTCAGCTCTCCACACTTCACGCCCGCTGCTGTAGCCTGCACCAGCGCCTTCTCTACCCGTGCTCCCGACTTTGGAGTGAGTGGTTCCAGAACCGCTTTCTGAATAGCGTAGTTGCGGATGTGCTGGAAAGCATAGTGCATCACAGCGAGAGAAAGGGTGTTTGCTTCGGTTGACAGTGGAGCCATGGATCGTGCTGTCGCGTAGGCATGAACACTCCTGTACTCCCCAAGTGGCCTGCCCAAGTAGTCGCCATGGAGCGGTGGCACTGTACAGTACCTGTTTCCGTCGTCGCACCAAGGAAGTGGAGCATTGCCGTGCAGTATTGCAGTGCAGCAGAAGCGGCCTGTACACGGGCGGATTACACCCAACCACGCTCGGCATACAGCACGACTGTAGCAATCAAGTAACGGTACACTGACTTTACGTGCGGCGGAGCCACATGTGCAACTGGCTATCCATGTAAGCATAGGGCTCACTCGGGGTGATCGTGTGTTGAAGCTATCGTAAGCTTGACTCAGCAGCGCACACACACAACATGGGCTCACTTGAAGGGGCTCAGATAAGCCAGCAGAGGCCAGACGAGGAGCCTGATATGTCTATTTATGTGTTGCATTGTAATTGCTCTATGGAGTCTAGATTGCGACGGACAAGCAGAAGGTGCGAGAGAATGACAGCGCGGTCGAAAGACAAAAGAGGAAAAACGAAGGCAGAATACAAGAGCTCTATCGTGTGAGAGACGTGAGGAGGCGCACTGCGGGCGCAGAGCCAGCTGTCGACCCGGCAAGAGATGAAACAGTACCCGGTTGCTGTCGGAGAGAAGATGATGGCAGAGGCGGTGCAGGGAGGAAAGTAGCAGAGTGAGGTTACCCAGTGCCCACTACTGTGTAGTTGGTGTAGAATTCTGTGACATCATATTTTGTGTCATCGATGTAGCGAATTCTTGTAGCATGGTCTGCATCTTCTGGTCCATATTCTGCTGCATACCCAGCATCATATCCTGCATCATCCTAGACAAACGCGCTTCAATGTCCGGTGACTGGTCTGCTACGGCGCCCGTTTGGCGTTGTTCCTCGCGTACCGTGCCAGGCAGAGTGTTTGTGATACTCGTGCGCGAGGGATGCTGCGCTGGCGGGGCCGTGCGTACTGGTGTTGGCTCTCGCAGAGGCGTGCTGGTCTGTCCGAAACGACCTCGGCGATTGTTTCCATTGCGGAAATGCGCATTGTTTGGCTCACGTGAGCCGTGTTGCTCAAGCAGCATTGGGTTGTTGGCTTGTTCTAGAGCAAGTCCTTTCTTGAGAGTTTTCGGATCTTCGTTAACGCCGACGAGGAATTCGTCGACCAAATAATCCGCACGTCGTGCCCCCAGCATATTCCGAAATGCCTGGCGGTTTATCATACGATTTTCCCCGTTGTATTCGATCCATAATACTCCCGTAGGAAGTTTTTGGTATGTTATTTCATGAGGATTGTGTGCGACCCCTTTGATTATGATCGTGGCGTAACCATGCATTCGGGTATACTGCTTCTGAATACCCGTAATGTTGCACTTCCGGTCTTCAGGAAGCCCAATGTAGGCTGCTGCAGCTTCGTACCCTACCTCATAATCCTTGAGAATCTTAATCGGATTGGCTTCTTCCACTTGAATCACGAAAAACGCGCCGGTACAGATTTGTTCGGGTTGGCCGGTAATTAACGAACGACCGGTTGCTGTTCTCGGGCTGTACGCTAAAATCTTTTTGCCTTTTTTCGTCTGGCCGGGGGTCCAAGGATAGGTGGTGTCCATTGCATCGGATGATGGCTGATCGGTGGACCTGTCTGCGGATGTTTGCGGATTGCCAGTCTGTCCGTTTCCAGCGCCGGACCGCTGAGACGCCGCAGATGGAGCAGTCGGGTTTGGTAAACTATTGGCCCAGGGAGGAAGAAGCAGCACTTCCAGCAAATCTTTCAACCCCGCCTTTTTACTTTCGTATTCACGCTTCGCGTTCTCTCTCACGTTCGTGTCCTGGTTAGGGTCGTTTAGAATTGCTAGCTGGATGCGTAGATGCTCGCCAGCGTTGCTAATCGCCTGTAGTGGAGGGGTGCGATCGGAGACTGGAACTGGCGGCTGTCCGTTCCTGTTACGGTCTTTGTTTTCCTTTTTGTTCAGCTTCTGCATCTCTTTCATCAGCTTCTCGAGTTCTTTGTACGCTTCTTCGTCGCCAGACATAAGTACTCGCTCGACCAAAGGTCCCATACTGTCGAGTGTTTTCTTCTTTGCCTCGCTCATGGGCTGAGGCTCGTCATCTTCATCGTCATCGCCTTCGCTATCATCCCCATCGAACGCATTTCCAGCGAAGTCCTCACCAAGATCGTTTTGAACGAGTTCGCCCCGACGTATGTGCTCGGCTCTCTCTTTGTTATAATTCTCGCGCTTGGCCTGATCCACCAGAATCTCTTTCGCATTAGTGACCCCTAGCGGTTTGTGTCAGCATCCCTTGCGGCTCTCAGAAACACCACTTACTTTGGAAGACGTCTTTCGCATCGTTGTCACTGTTCTGATCGGTATGGGTCAGGAGCGACTTTTTGTACCAGGCTTTCTTGATGTCCTCCGTCGTTGCCGTCTCTGAAACGTCAAGGATCTCATAGAGAGCGAATTTGGGCCAGCGCAGAATCCTCAAGACTTCTTTTTTCTTCTCGTCTGGAGTGTAAGATTGTATTTCCTCATTTTCGTTAGTTCCACTGTCGTTAGCACGCTGCGACTCTTCCGCATCCGCGGTGCCGGTCATAGGAATATCCTCGTTAGCGGGCGGCAGCGCCTGTGGAGGTGCTGCGGCAGACATGGCTTTGATTTAGGATAGGACACTTCCAGTAGCATATTGGCCTTAAGTAGTTTGTTCGAGAAGCCCGTTCCAGCGATTGGAGCCGGAAACAACCAGGCGAATGCCAGAAGCCGAAATCAGACCTTGCGCTAAGCAAAGGGGTAGATATGGGCCTTCAGTCCTGACTACTTTTGCTCTTGAGCTCAGCGTCGCCGACTCTTTGATCCCGGCCAAGTTCCTTCACTGGCCTCGTTTCCCAACATGCGGACTTACTATCTGGTTGCGCACCTCTTCCTGGCTATCCATAATCAAGGCACCTCCGCAAATCATGTGAACACCACAGGTCCATCACACTCTGTCGCAGCCGCTCCGACTAGTGACACTCTTATCAATACGACGCTAGTCAACGGCTCTATGGGCTGGCTCTCCTTCGATGTGATCCAACCGACAGTACCCACAGAATCGGTGATTGCTCAAGACAATCACTCTGTGCTTTCCGCATCGGAGTTTGCAAAGGTTGAGTTGCATCTCGGAGGCCTTCATGGCTCTGGGGTGATCGAGTTGACCAGCTCTCCCGCAGCGCTTACGACGGGCGATCACGCATCGGGAGTCGCCTCACCTCAATGTACCCCAAGAATACAGAGTATATCAGAATCACTCTCTACGAGTAACCAAAGCAGTACCACTCGTTCCAATAACGTCACAGGTCTGGCTGCGCTTCCTACGCCCACAAGTCTCTTCAACAACACCAACTTCAACATTTCCCGTCTGTCAACATTCGCAGCTCCTGCGCTGCAGAGCTTGTCCGGTGAGCTTGCAGGGAAATCTCGTGCTAGCTCGTATTGCTCCATAGTAGCAGCCACAGCATCTCTTTGCTTCATAGTCTTCTCGTAGGTACCACCGACGTACAGCGAGCGTTAAGGATACGAGCACGGTATGCTGTTTGGGGTTTGGCAATCGCGATAGTACAATACAATCCTCTGACTTATCTATCTTGCATGTCTTCATCCTAGTTGAATGATACCACATTCCAAAGAAACTAACTGGCACACGTCGTAGAGTCTTTACGCTCGCGACAGGTTGCCGACTCTCTTAGGAATACTGGAGACGAATGACGCAACACGACACTGACATGCATCTGTGCTTAACGGAAGGCCGCGCGTGACGGTAGCCCAAATTACCTTCTAGCACAGTAAGACTTACCATATATTATAGTAGCACTAATTAGCCCTCTTCGGAACATCAGGTTTGTGCTGTGTCATGAGCTGAGTAATCACGCTTATCGGGGAGTGCAACGGGTGTGCAGAGAGAGCTGAAGGAAGAGCCATGACGCTTGGCACCTGCTGTTTCCTCTGGACTCTCCCGTGATCATATCAAGGGACTCTTAACAACAGCTATCTCTTCAAGACATACTGATGAAGCATGCGCGACATAGGTCAATGCTCCGACATATGTGGCTTGCGCTGTGGGATACAGACATCGAGGAAGAGACGAATTAACTAGTTCTCCAACAAGGACCTGGAGTTGAGAGAGCTCTACATCACTGTATCAAGATAAGGACAGTCGGTGGTGCAGAAAAGAAACCCCGCATTAGCTAGAGCTATCGATACATCGCCGCAACGCCAGCACTTCAGCCTCTAGGTCTTCCACCCTCTCTCTCATACGAACCAATTCTCCTGCGTTGGTTTGACTGTGCTCTTCCACCCAGCCTGACAAGCGCTCAAAGTATTGTTCAAAGTTTGTCTGCACTTCAACCCATTGCCTGTAGCCGCGTTAGAGATACGTAGTCAGTTGCCATTGGATTGAGCGCACCTGCGGACGTCGACGAAGCTACAAGTGAACGTCAGAGGCATCTGGGTAACTATGGGATGGGCACTGACGTTTGTTGAGATTCTGAACAGGCCTGCTGCTGCTGCTGCAGCAGGGCTAGCTCCAGCTCCCTAATTTTCTCGTCCTGCTCGTTAAGTCTCTCTATAGTGTTTGCTTGGAGCGGCTCGGCAGGCTCGTGGCGCCGGTCCTGCTGCAGTTGCTCGCGGTCGAGCTGCGGACCTTTGTCAGCGTTTTCAGACTCGGTCCTGGGCTGGGTTCCAAACTCGGTCCCAGACTCGGTCACCAACCCGGCTCCGAACTCGAGCACGCACGGTTCTTCTTCTGAGAGCGGCCTCTCAAGCTCTTCGCGTAGACTGGAATCTGGAACATGTTGCATCGATAGTGCTGCGCTCGTGTCATACAAGTTTGCGCCTTGGTTTACTGTAGCTGGGTTGATATACTGGTGGAAAAGTGGGGACTGCGCGTTGGGATAGAAGAGTTCCGCATCGATCTCTTGATGAACCGAAGCACAATCTTGATAGGCCGGCAGAGACCCGACGTTCTGACCGACGACTGCTGAATCAAGATTCGGATTGGGAGCAGAAAAGTCGGCATCTGTAAGAAGTGAAGCAAAATCAATACCTTGGTCGATCGACTGGGCAGTGCTATCGAACCATAGAGACTGCTGGTCATTGTTCATGTGGGTAGTCGAGATAATGCTCGATTCCTGAGTAGCAGAAGACAGGTCAAAACCAGCCGACATATCGCCACCATCAGTGCATGCGTACGTGCCGGCATCGAGGAGATAGTCTGGCATCTGCTGACCAGCGTTGCAGTCGAATAGCCAGGAGTACTCTTGGCTGAGCATGACCGCAGGTTCACAATGCGACGGTTTGAAGCGGGGGTCTGGCGGGGGTCTGGCGGAGGCGAACGGCACTGGCAGCTCGCGAGCTAAAGTATCGATTGCTCAAACCATTATGGGCTGCAGAGGCTACGGTCGACACACTCTCTTTCACGGGCTCCCATAATAGCGGCCGTCTCAGAATGCGACACTGACGGCTATGTTTGTAGCCTCGCGAAACGAAATGGGATGCGTCTCCACAGGCAGATACTAGGAAACCGGGCGCAGTGGCTGTTGTCTCGCAGGACAATATTAGATTTTCGCAGGATATTATTAGAAAATTGCAGGACCTACGGCTTGTGTAGTAGCAATAGTGAGCTGTTGCGGCTAGGTGGCACTGCAAGTCACGCAACAAAGGCCTCTCTAGTCCCTCAGCAAGTTACTGTACTGTAAAGTACTGTAGCTGTGAATCTTTCAGAGAAGTGTCTACTGCACGTCCTCTCGCTCACTGTGTCGGCTACAGGCTACGCTAAGTAGTTTGCTGACATACGTCGATCACAAGTGTGGAGCCGATAAGCATGAATGAGGCGCAACCAAAGTCGAAAGAAGAAAGAACAAGCCCTCAGACGATTTGGGGTGGTTACACCCAAAGGCTCGCTAAATGTCAACATGATCTAGCCAAATGACACATACGAAAGGGATGCTAACCTATAGTAGGTTCAAGCTAGTCGAAACTACTTGTCAACTAGTGTGATGCTGACTTCTCTCCCAGGCAAAGCCCTCGCTTAGTGCGCTAGGGCTCCCTGTCGTGTGGGTGTTTCGTGTCTTACAAAACCGGAAGCCAAATTTACGATCCGGGACTCTTGCGCACTTGCAGCTTACAGCTCCTACAAACTGGCAACTCTTGATACCACGCGAAGCCTCTTTTGATCTACCTTGCGCGAATAGTCCTAGTTTCTGTCGGCAATGTGCCATGGGTTAGCCTTCTCCTAGACGCCCAGACCAACCGAAGTGTGGTCTTTACAAAGCCCAAGTCTTTTCCAAACAAGCGTATACAGTACCAAGCAGATCAAGGCCCTGCGTAGAGCGACAATTGAGCCGCGTGCAGAAAGTGGGGGCTGCAAGTGTATGGGAGTACACAAGTGCGGGCTGTCTCTTGAGTCTTTGGCTTAGGGTAGGCGATAGTTGTCTTAGAACCGTCTATACAGTAACATGCCTAACTAAAGGGACATATCGAGTTTGCGTCGCGAGCCCTCGAACATGTCAACGCCGGTGCAAAGAGTTCCCCCAGGTGAAGCGATATTGCGTGGTCTGCAAGCGTGTCCGAGAGCAGGGTTTGCTGTTGCTTCGTCTTTCGGCGAGGATCCTATTCCGTAGGTAGCAGCCATATGGTGCTCACGTACAGGAAGGGCTCTTGCTCCAAGTACCACAAAGTAGAGCGAATCTCAGTTGAACACAATCAGCGCAAGATCGTGTCCGAACAGTTCCTTATTCCAATGCACGAGGCGTCTACCTTAACGCCCCCAGCAATGACGAGAATCGACATGGAGATAGCAAAGAGGCGAGGAACTACAATCGCCACCGAAGCGACGCGGTAGGCACCTGCAAGGTTCAAAGACGGCGACGGCGCCCTCTTTGATGGAGATCATCGCGGAGAAAGAACGGTACAAACGGGGTCAGGAAAACATGAGAGCTGAGTACAATCAAGTTCACGTGGGATTGGCGAGTGCCAAATAGGCTTCAGTAACAAGGAACAGGATCATCATTAATGCTTGTCCCTCAACGACGCCACGTTGTGGTGTGATATATACTGTCATGGGAAAACCCCAGCGGCTTGCTATACACTCTCACTCACATTTTCCGTAGGGCCCGTGTCGGCGTACATAGGCAGCGATTTGAAGTCGAAGCGTGGTGGGACGCTACGTAAAGCTCTTCGTTCTGGCTCTGCCAAAGCTTGTGACGGCATCTCAACGCTTGACTGGCGTCCGCAGCTTGGTTGCGCGGTGGCTGGCTTGTTGTTGTTGTTGTTGTTGTTGTTGTTGTTGTTGTTGTTGTTGTTGTTGTTGTTGTTGTTGTTGTTGTTGTTGTTGTTGTTGTTGTTGTTGTAAGAGGACGGGTCAAATTGCTGCCAGTCTTCGGGGAAACGGCGCTATCCTACATATGAGCGGTGCTGATTCAGGCATTAAAACATGGAAGCGACTCACCAGTCTTTTCATCACCGTCTCTATTTCTCCCAAGATAGCGCCGCCTGTCGAGTCGTAGGTGCGGATTTGGCCGACATCCGTGTACAGCACAAAAGTGAACACCTTGCAGCTTGGCCGTATACCCAGCTCATGCGACTTGTTGAAAAGACCTTTGGTTCTCTTTCTACGAGACGTCTGGTCGTCCTTGGTGATTTTGGCGATTTTCCTCTTCAACGCCATTTGATGCTCGATTGCCAGTCAGTAGGAAGCCGACGGCTTAAAACGAGCCCACGGCAACTTAGGCAGGGCACTGTTTGAGCTCTGCAATTGAGAACCTGGAACATATGTCTATTTTTGGAGATCGGGTTCAGGTAAGGCAATATGCAACTGTGGCGGAGCACATCAAGCCCTGCTATGGTGAGCGGACCTATGTATGGCACGTCTGAGCCCGTTCTGGCTGAAGTTTATCGACAGACCTACCTTTCATATATCAACTTACGATGAGGAATGTTCTGAGCGCTCTCGGCCTCCGCCATGGATGTTGTTCAGTGGTATGGAATTGCGCTCACAGCTCTGGCTGCCATCGTGCTAGCCGCTTCACACCTACATCCTCTCCTGCCATTCTGGCTGCTCCGACATATTGCATATCCCCGTTTACATCCACTACTCGGAGGTACAGGCGATACTACGCGATTTGGGGCCATCGTGATTGGAGTGTTTCTCGCTGGCAATGTCTTCTGCAGCGGCCTAGGCGTCAAGAGCTCTTCGGACCTAGTGAAGCGAACGGGGCAACTCTTCACAATCAACGCAATCCCTCTGTTCCTCGGCGGCAAAATCGGTCCTCTTGTCAACGTTCTGCGCATGCAATATGAGGACTTTGCAAGAGCGCACCGCTGGCTCGCGCGAGTCGCGACCGTACAGGCTGTCGTGCATGCTGTCGTTGCCTTTTTTGCGAAAAAGGAATTTCGCACTCAGTCGCAGATTGCAGGCCTTGTCGTAAGTCTTCTCTCTGATGATATACATATTGCTTCGGCTGAACAAACTGATAAGGCGGTGTCGGCGGTGTTTCTCATTTTTCTGTTTTCGATGGGAGTGGTGCGGAGGCGCTGGTACGAGCTTTTTGCAAAGCTGCACCTCGTACTCGCTGTACTCGCAGTCGTCGCCGCTTGGCTGCACGTTGCATCTGGCTCGGTATTCCGTCCGCCAGAGGTCTATCTGTTTGCTGCGTGCTGCACTTACGGAATTGCGTTCGCCGTGTGGTTCAAGCACATTGTGTATCGCAACTACAGCTACCATACTCTATTCGCGTCAGCCGAAATATCCAAGACGGGCACATCTTCAACCCAAGTCGTACAGATGAAACTCGGGCTGCCTCGCCCCTGCGACTTCCGGCCCGGTCAGTTCGTGTACGTCCGCATGTTGACGCTGAGAAACCTTGCTATCCTGCAGAGTCACCCATTCTATGTGTACTCTTGGGATGAGCGCGGCGTGTTTTCCTTGCTGGTCGAGAGAAAAAGTGGGTTTACCGAGAGCCTCCTCGATGAAGACGCACCATTGTCTCAACCGCGCAGAACCCCCAAAGTCAAAGGAAAAGTAGTGAGAGCGATGGTCGAGGGCCCCTTTGGGAAGTCAGTGGACCTCACACCATATCGCACCATCGCTCTGTTCGCCACAGGCATCGGCATTGTCGCGCAGCTCTCCCATGTGCGACGGTGGCTCATGGACCAGCAAGGCCCTTTTAATGTCACTACTAAAAGCATCAATCTCTTTTGGGAAGTCGAGGAAGAAAGTTAGCATCGCAAGGTCGTTGGTCGTTACACTTACTGATGGCCTACAGGATACAAACGCTGGGTGGAAGAAGACATGAACTATCTCTTGTCCATAGATCTGAAACATGTGAGTAATGCGGTCTGCAAAGAAGGAGACCATGCTTACGCCTAGAAGATGGTCCGCATTCACGTCTTCGTGAAGGGTGACTCATCGGACCGAGAAAGAGGCAATATTGAGACTCCGACGAAGATCAATGCATCGCGACCAAACCGTGTATTCTATCATTTTTCCCCCATTGATGCCGAAGCCGAAGTCAGAAAACAGATCGAAGAGGCCTCTGGGAGAACCGTCATCGCTGGTAAGCGTTTACTCCTACTCTCTTGAGCACACAGCTCACCTTGCGCACAGTCTGCTCAGATAGTCTTACAACCGCCAACATACGACGAGAGGTCTGCCGCGCGGTAGGAAAAGACATAACGCTAGAGGTCCTTGACATTGTTCCAGGACAGCGGCAAACTTATTGGCCATCTTTGCGTGCTTTTTTTTGGGCCTAAATCGAGCAAATAGACCCCCAAGCCTTGAGGGCCGTCACTACGGCCAAGATGCGTATGAGCATAGAGTAGCAGTGGTATTTGATACTCTTTTTCTCAGGACGTACGTTGCACTTTTGTATTTTCCTGAGTCTGTTCGGCGTTGTGACTGCTTTGTTCACTGTCATGCACTGAACCAGAGATGAGAAGCGACATGGCATGGTAGACAGATATCACGTAGCTTCAATGGGATACATCATTCAACCTCTTCTTTGGAATCTGTTTCTTGTCAGCTGCAACCTGGTCTCTCAGACTGGTTAATTTACAGGCAAGCGCAAGGTTTTATGAAAAGCAGCACCAAGAAGCAGAAACGCAGTGCTAGTTAAATTAGGGATGATACAAGTGAGTTGTTTTACTAAGTTAACCCTTGATGATAGGTACTGTGTGTAGATCCATAGCCCCAATTTTGTACAGCTCGTTCTAGTAGTGTGCATCCATTGACTGACGGCAGAAACTCTCAAACGTCTACTTGTCTAGCCTACGCTGCGTAGGATGGATATTTGCTGCCTTCTCAGCGAGGTGAATGAGGGCAGTACGTCACAGAAGTGCTAAACGCAGAACAACTCCTGCTTCCAAGAACGCAGGCCGAAGTGCTTCTTCCTCGGGAAAGTGAAGTGGCCGCCGATCTTGAGCAGTTGGAGAGGAAGACGGTATTGCTGTACGTATACCGAGCAATGTCTCAAATTAAAGAACCGCAACACAGTATCTCTCTGCTCGAGTACGCCGAGCTGGTCCTAATCGGGAGCCTACGCTTTTGACGGGGCTCTATAAATACATGTAATCTAGTCTTGACCGCATAGCTTCGTTTCCGGCTCGTGAGAGCAAACGGGCAACAGGCGATCCGGAATGGGCTCAACCACGTTCATGATAAAGAGCGATGCTGTAGGAAAGGCCTTCTTTTACCGAAGTGCATCTTGCTAAAGCGATGGTTTGCTGCACTCATAGTCGGTGGCTCAGTATCTCGACTGGGGAGAAAACGAGTGATCTCCTAGAGTCTGACAGAGCACAGACCCTCCTCGCGAATAGTCCATACATCGAAGAGCAGTGCCCGAGTCTTTTTGTGCTAATCGGGAGCATTTGCAAGGCCCGAGCTATCCAAGAGCTTTTTTCCGCGAAGTCGGCCACGCCTACATTCGTCCACGGTGAAGTGCACTTGCATCTCGATCCTTTGTCTGCATTCAGCAAGCGGCCCATCTACGTCGCAGATAGCGACATACCCGAGAGACACCGGCGGGACAAGATACCGCCTGCAGCCTCCTGCCACGAGACGATCAGTCACTCGTTTCGGCAGACCGGAAAACAGCCGCTCGATGCGAGCAGCGCTGCCGGACAAGTCTACGCTCAACTTCTCCATCCCTTTGCGGACGTCTTTTGTCTCTTCGCAGCTGACCTAGGGGGCCTCCGCGGAATCTCTCGCCAGGTGGCCGCATGGCTCAAGAGGCCGCAAGCCTCGCTACTACCGACTGAAACGTATCCGTCCCTTGTCATCGTCATAGAAGACAACACGCGAAAGGGTGAGAAAGCAGTCAAGGACTGGTTCTTGCAGAACCTAGCTGCAGAGCAGAACCTAGCTGCAGACACTCCCAGAAGTTTTTCTGATCACTTCTCCAGTCTCGAAGTGGTCATGTTGCCACAGGTAGGCAAAATATCCAGCGGCGCGCGCCACCGCCGTCTGAAAGACCGCCTGTTGAGAGTCTCGGACCGCATACGCAAGCACAGAACCAGCTCTCGCACCCTTTTCTCTGCCAGACACTTCCATGCATTCTTCCGACTGGCTTGCCAACACCTCACGGGGGGCAACAGTGAGCCTTTTGACTTTGTGACTGCGGCAAGGCTGCACAATCCCGTCCCTTCAGACCTCAGGAAGCATCTCTCCAACTTTGTGCAGCTTGTGAAGTCGTCACGTGAGCTAATCGACTTCGCAGCACCGGCAATCGCCTCGGCTCTTTTCCTAGACAGCTATCCCCCGGATGCTCCAAGTAAGTCGCTCGTCATGCCTGCTCATGCCATCGTCCTGACCCGCTTTTCAGTGTTCGATCCTGGATCTGTATTCGAGAGGCTGTACAAAGGTGTCTGCTACGAGGCAAGCAAATCTGCGATGTCGAACGAACACGATCCAAGCTTTATGCTCCCCAGTGCTATTGTCAAACTGATTCAGAGCCACTTCCAACGCTACTTTTCGGACGCACTGCAGTCAAACACCTCGAAGTTTGCTGCGGAGTCACACAAGGGCGTTCTACAAAGAGCAAGCGGCTTTTGGCTAAAGCTTCAGAGCAGAGAGACGTGTCTCGTGTGCCTCGGTCGCAGGCCGCATATTGGGCTTCCCTGCGGGCACACGGTGTGCGAAAACTGTATTTGCGTATTTGGCTGCCCATCCCCGGAGGACTCTTTCGTCTACCATATCGATCGATGTTTTCTCTGCGGACTGGATGCGAAGCACAAGAGCGTGCGCATTCATCCACCCACAGCTGGCGCAGCCGTTCTCAGCCTGGATGGTGGCGGCGTGCGAGGGATACTCGAGCTTGCTTTTCTCCAGCTGTTGGAAGATCGGATCGGGCTCCCGATGCCTGTGCTGCGGAACTTCCAGGTTGTATTCGGAACGAGTACAGGTCGGTCTGGCTATCTCGCTGTGACGAACCTTACTAACAAACAGACGTAGGAGGTATTATCGCGCTGGGACTCGCTCAGGGCTGGTCTGTCCAGAAGTGCATCAAGATCTTTCCACGGCTGGCTAATGCGGCTTTCCAGCGGAGGAGGTTCCTAGGCCTGTTTCATCTGCCCAAGGCTCTAGAGACTCTGATGGCCATCTTCACCGACTGTATCTACCCGGCTGATCACATCGAGACGGCGCTCAAAGAAGCGTACGGTTGTAGACAAGGTCTCTTGGAGATGTCGCAGGCAGCGTCCCTTGGAACGAGGGTTGGGGTACCTGTGGTAACTGTGCGCGGATCTTCATTGTGCCTGTTCACTAGCTATAACGGCACAGGACTTCGCAAGAACGATCTAGGTAGCCTGCAGAGTATTCATAGCTCACTGGCAACTGCTGACAGCTTCTTAGAGTACCACATTATCGAGTCACACGACGGTGCCGAGCAGCCGCGGGTATGGGAAGTGTAAGTCGCCAGAAGCTAGGCTTTGATTCCGCTAACATCATCCGACAGCGCACGTGCAGCATCAGCAGCTCCATTGTAAGTCTGATCGCGTTTGGCGTGCTGATTGCGCTAACTGCATGGCAGATTTTTCAAGCCCGCTACCATCAGGGGATACGCCGACCACCAGGACTCAGGCACGCTGCGCAATAACCCAATCTACATGGCCTTATCTGAAGCCGAGGCGTTGTTTCCATTTACCGAAGAGCCTGACTTTGTGGTGAGCTTGGGTACTGGGACTCCGCGTCCGGATGCCGAGGAGCTTTACACTTCAGGCTCGCGCGGCCTGCTCAAAGACGGCTGCCTCCCACGTCTCTGCCGCGGAGCATGGGAAACCATGAACGGGAGTCGTGACTATATTGTCCTCAAAAGTTTTGGTAGGCCAAGTTCCTGCGGGAAATACCACCGAATGGATATTGAGTTTGACGGACCCGAGCCGAGACTCGACGCCGTGAGCGACATGGCTAGCCTCCAGTCTCGAGCGCTTGGAGATTCTAATCTCTCCCCGGTCCTCGACAACATCGCAGAATGCGTCATAGCCTCTCAGTTCTACTTCGAGCCGCGTACGCGCCCAAAGTACATGGGCGGACAATACGTCGGCTCTGGCTGGATCAAGTGCAAGCTTCGGCGCGGTGAGCCTGCGCTCGAGGCCCTTCTCAGCCGGCTCCGCACCGCCGGAGCGAGGCTTATGGTTGGCAACACAAACGATCCTGATCCTCACGACAAGTGCATCGCTCAAATTGGTGATAGTTCTAATTTCGACGAGACCAGGAACTTCTGCGCGAGTCTGACCCTGAGCGTGCAAGGCAGCTTTTCCATCTTCCTGCAGGAAGACAGCAAAACTCCCCGTCACATCAGTGGTTCGCCGTTCTCAGTGGAGAGACTGGTGCGAGCAGAGGGTCTCGAAGCGTACTTTGGCCGGGCTGACCATCGAAAGCGCGACTGGGCCGACGACAACTGTGCGATACCGCAGGCAAAACGCAGACGGGGATCTTGATATCAGGAGGGAGGTGCGCGCAGTGATGAAAGTAGCTGGGATAGCGTCGACGAGGTTGCTTTGTGAGTAGTTACTAGCGTTGTGGTTGCTGTGGAGCGTGAGACTGTGCAAGGTCGCCACCCTAGTCGGTACTTCTCATTGAGGCTAACACCGCTTTTGGATAGCCTGAAATAGTCTTATACGTCTGACATAAGCATTCTCCGTAACTTACCTTTGCCATCCGGTAAGCTCCGCTTGCAGCAATCAGGCTTATGGGCATGGCTGTGCTGAGCCCTGTTAGCGAAAGAAGAATCGACCGCTATGCATTCCTCACCAAAACCGGCCTCCCCTCAACTGCAGTGGCGACATGATGTGCGCCACACACTAAGAAGGGAGCATAATGCCCCACCTATTAGATCTAGTGTAGTGTGGATCGGTGAGAACACGTGCGGATACTACCCAGGCTTTGCATAGAAACTTTCACCGCATAGGTTTACGTTCACACACGGTATCTGATATGGATGTGAGCCCTTAGTAGCATCTATCTAAAATCTCTAATTACTAAGTTGGCTTAATATTATCCTCTTTACATGTCTAGCACGTCGAAAGAAAATGATTTACTGTACGTTGTACCATCCGTTTGATCAGGTGAAACAGGAGCCCTCAACGTAGCTAACAAGATTGCTAAAGGCGACAACGTCGCCAATATTCAAGGTCAGAGTATTTCTCAGCTCTCTCTGGTGGCTGCTTGCATCACATCCAAAACCGCCCTGCGTCGTCGATGAACGGCTCCCAGTTCCAGGCTGTTCGACAGCGACGTTGGGCAGCACAGCTTCCCCAGTTGCCAAGCCCACACCTTTCGTGGGAAATTCGATCTAGATTGGGATAGACTCGTAGCCGCTAGCGTAGCCTATGGCTTGGAGCTTGATCTCGTAGTACAAAATCAATTGTCGTTAACGACTAAGGGTGCCAAAAACGGACGCTGCAATCGCTTAGTCCGTCTGAATGGAAGGACAAACGCAGTCCGAGACGTGGGTGTTGCCTGGTAGCTGCCGTATCATGCTTGTAATCTGGTCCACGCAGTCGAAGCAATCGTTGTTGATGGCCTGGATGGCAAGGCCTTGGCATGTTTTGTAAACGCCAAAGAAGTAGTCGTCGGGAATGCACGTGCTGGATGGTAGCCGCAGTATAATTTCGAGGGTTGACGATGCGTTGTCGAAACGTCTATTGCTGATGGCCTGGATGATCAAGGTTCGGCATGTTTCGACAATACCAAAGAAGTAGTCGTCTGGGACGTGCGTGCTGTCTAGTAGACACTGTATGACTGCGAGGATCTGTTTCGCGTCGAAAAAACGGTTGCTGCTAACGGCCGGACTGATCAAGGTTCTGCATGTTTCGACAACACCATAGAAGTAGTCGTCGGAGATGCGCGTGTTGTCTGGTAGCTGTTGTATGACTCCGAGAGTTAACCTTGCAGCGATAAAATTTCCGCTGCGGATGGCCTGGATGACAAGGTCTCGGCATGTTTCGACAACACCAGCAAAGTAGTCGTTGGGAAGGCGCGTGTTGCTTAGTAGCTGCTCTATGACTTCGAAAATGTCGTCGGTGTCGAGAAAACGCTTGTTGCGGATGGTCTCGATGACAAGGTCTCGGCATGCTTTGGCAACGCCCAAGAAGTAGTCATCGGGGACGTGCGTGCTGTCTAGTAGACACTGTATGATTGCGAGAATCTGCTTCGCATCGGTGAAACGGCTGCTGCTGATGTCCTCGATAACCTGGGTACAACCACGCGCATAAAGTTCGCCGACCAAACGATCCGTCTTGGTCCACCCACTCATGCACTTGATTACAGTAGCAGCCTTGGAGAACGACATGCTCGTAGTTGCTTGCTGTACCAGGACATCTGCATTGTTTGTTAAAGCGAGATTCCAAGCCTCGGGGACGTCTTGGGGGACATCTTGGGGGATGTTTCTGAAGACTTCTAGTAAAAGTTCATCAGGTAATGTCTCTAGACTGGCACTCATTCTGAGGGGGGTGGGATGTAAGGGGGGTGAAGTGTGAGCGAGGTGGAGTGTGAGGGTGGTGGGAGAATAAGTTGCTAGTAAACCGCGGGGTGGAGAGATCTTATACTCGAACAGTAGAAATTCTCCTGTACACCATGTTCTCTGGTGAGCAGGGGGGCGTATTAGCTTGCATCATTCTGCTGGTCGCCCCCCGGCCGTTGCTTGACTAGGAGGTAGCATAGAGGGCTGAGTCCGCCATGGTGCGACCGCCTCGAGCTTTTCCAATGCTCTATGACGCAGTTCGTTCATGCATCGCCGATAGTTATATGTTTGTTGGTCTGGATTGATGGCATGCCCACCCTTCCCATGCAACTTTCTCTACGACCGGAGGTCCTGGATCAAGAAGTATGATAGGACGGTCCGGAGCGGCCTCGTCATGCAATACTCTGGTCTCTACCATCAAACACACCTGTCCGCGCGGTGCATAGAGGATATCTTCATCACGTCGAGCAGTGCATTGCGAATGGGGCCGGTACAATCAAAGACTCGGATACGGCCCCTCGTTTCTACAGCTTGATTGATGGGCTGGCACAACACCATATTGGTACCAATCTCTTGGGTCAGGGAGTGAGCTGACACGCGTATGTCTCGTGTCTTGGACGGCCCTTGAACGTTGGCTCTGTTGCCGGGTCTGACTCCTAGGCCGGCCCACAGCTACCCTGGCGGCAGGAACCTGCTATTCCAGGGGGCTACCAAGAAACTATCCAAGCAACTATCCAAGCAGCATCGACGTTGCATCATATGATAGGCATCCGTGTACAGATGACCTCAAGCTGCACTGCCGCTTGAGGTTGGTGACTGTTCCGCTTCAGTATCTTCAATGCGTCTCGGCGAGGGCGTTGCTCTACTGCGTCCACACGTTTGCCACTAACGACTTCGCCAATGGGGACCGCCCCTTCTTGCGGTGCATGAAAAAGAGCATGGCGCGACACCGGCACCAACACTCTTCTCGTACCTCTTTGCTCAAACCATGCCGTCAGGCAGCAACCAGACCCCGGTGAGATTCATGCATTCCTGCACTATACGCTCCTGCCATCATGCGCATGCACTCACATCCACCACACCGATTGGAAGCTTCCTACCTCTCCCGAGTCAGCTTGGCATCAAATGCCTCACTAGAGCCAGGAAGCCGCGTTCGACCTTATGCTTGAGCCATCAGCAAGAGTTAAGGAGCGTCGTCATTGGAAAAGACCCGCAGCGTCAATCATGCGCTGCCTGCATAGGGGCATCGATCCGTGTCAGCCTCGGTCGAGCACAGAGGGCTGGCACTTCTCTGAGACCAGAACAGTGGCAAAGAGAATGGAACACGATTTGTCGGAGAGTCTCAGAAAGGAGGAGTGAATCGCGGTAGTAACGCTACAGTGTGCTCAGGCAGCCACCCGCCCAATGTCACCGACACAATATAAAGCAGGAGCATCTCATCGTGATCCATCATTCTGATCCCTCCTCTATACACTCGTCTCTGGCAGTCATAGTGAAGAACTGAAGAATAAGTACATCATCCTGCCATGTTAGTGTCTCGTATTCTCTAACGCACAATCAGAATTCTCCCCATTACATCGTTTGGAATATGTTGTCCGAAGAAGAACCATCTCACCCCGCGGGTGGTTGCAACCAGGATCAGGCGGTGACAGTCACTGGGTACTTCGGTATGGCTTCGTCTGCTTTATGTTGACTTAGCTAACGTCACAGGCAACCCATATTACCCTCTCTCTGATAAGGACCTCTGGCCTTTGATACATCGATTAGAGATGATTGGGCATCACAAGCCAGATATTGGCCCTCGCCCTCTGTTTAACGTTCCAACTTGCGTCAAACCCCTTATTCTGGCATGCATTGTGCTAGTGTTGATCGCGTTTGTCTTTGAGGTAATCAGGGCATTTATAACTCTGGTATACAGCTTGTTCGGGTTTTTATGTGTGCGTTTTATTTGGAATACATCGCTCGGCACCGGTAGCAGAAGAGGTCTAGATTCTGGATTCGGTTCTGGCGTGCTCAAGGCACAACAAACGACCCGTAGGCCTTAGTTGATAGATCAATCTCCACTCCATGTACGATGCTGAGCTCTATATCCAACATGGGAATGGTGAACAAGCGCACGCAACATCATTAGACTTGACAGGTTTTTTCTTCGGAAACACTCGATAGCCACCATTAAGTCCTACAAGGAGCTGAGCTTGTAGTGTGTTTTGAACACACGGTCAAGGCGTTGTTCTGTACGACCTAGCCAGATCTGACCGCAGCATCACTAGAACCTTACATATGCTATGCGTTGATCTAGCTAATGTCACCCGCAACCCACACGGAAGCTGGAATACCAGTGGACCGTTACGTCCCCCGTACCGGTCCACTGGTAGTGCCATCTTACGTCAGTACGACGAGTTCCCTGTACCGGTCCGCTGGTAGTATCAGTACGAGTGTCGTACCGTTACGTCCCCCGTACTGGTCCACTGGTAGTGCCATCTTACGTCAGCATGACGAGTTCCCCGTACCGGTCCGCTGGTAGTATCAGTACGAGTGTCGTACCGTTACGTCCCCCGTACTGGTCCACTGGTAGTGCCATCTTACGTCAGCATGACGAGTTCCCCGTACCGGTCCGCTGGTAGTATCAGTACGAGTGTCGTACCGTTACGTCCCCCGTACTGGTCCACTGGTAGTGCCATCTTACGTCAGTACGACGAGTTCCCTGTACCGGTCCGCTGATAGTATCAGTACGAGCGTCGTACCGTTACGTCCCCCGCACTGGCCCATAAATGTGTAGAACAAGACTTTCGATGGGTTAGCACATTTACTCTAGTATGAAGCGGTACGCCAATTATTCCCAGTTTTGTGCTTCCCTATTGGCCACCGATTTGTGCGGGGATCCTTACCGATCACAATATAGAGCTTACCGAAATAGTAACAAGCTGTGCGCCTAGTCCACTTGGCATGCTGACATAAGAAAGTTTCTTGGAGGTCCGCAACACATCCTGTGAGAACACTCCCATGGCTGCACAATATAGGCCACATGGATCGATCTACATGCAATTTCACGTCTCGACTGCTGAGCGACATCTCTTCAGATAGTTCTTGGTCGTGTACAGTACCATGTTTATCGCCATCCTCCTCTCCGAATCATGGATGGAACCACCGAGTTATAAGTGGTTCATCATCTATCTTCCAATTACATAAGTTTGATCTGATGAATTGATCTAATGGGATCGCATGGGTGAGGAAGTTTCTGCATAGCATTGAGGACGTTCGCCTCAGATTTTAGCATATCCAGTTGAGACGACATCGTGCCCTCTAGAATCGCCTGAGATGGATGGGTTTCGCTCTCAATCTTGGCAATGGAAGAATACATACAGCTGCATACAGTGAAACAAGAAGTTTGGGAAATACATCAAAATTGCGATTGAAAACAGTGCATTCAACGGCATTGTGCCTGCGTTTTAGGACCAGCACGTTCAATTAATCAAATAACGTCTTTATTGGCGCAAATCATCCAGAGTGGAGGATCACCAACGATGTATCTCGAGCCGTGGAGAATCCTTGCCGTCGATGTGGGCAGTTCTCTGGAGCAACTGGTACTGTAGAGCTAGCTACCTGGAGTACAGTCCCTATTGATTGAAACAGAATCCCGGTAAGCACCGTTCTAGTTATATTCTGTGTATATCGAAGTTTAGCATAGTACGTTCGTGCTACTTAGACCCGTCGCTACCACACACTACACAGAGTCGCGAGCTTGCTTGCTATCGCGCTGCTTCGCACGTCTCACCTAGCATGTTCTGAGCCAGTTGCCGTTTTTATCACAAAGCTCAAACTCCCTTCTCCAGCTGTGGGCTGGCCGCCCGGGTCAAGAGCAATCTCAAAACAAATAGTTTTCATTCATTGTATAACTGGAACCTGGCTCTAATTCTGTACTATACGAGAGGTCTTGCTAGCCCTGGTATCAGTCAAGCTATCTGGCAACCCATGGTTGGGTCTGGTTGGGTCAACTTTGCCCACTTTTTCAGCTTTTCTTTCTCTTCAAACGGCCGGGCTCATCGTAGCCGGTGGTACTTGTCCGCCGTTTTTTCCGTTTTTGGGCATGCTCTCCTTTGCTCCCATGTTGAGATTGCTCTGCTTTAACGAGTGCTCTTCTCAACTCCTCCTTTCTGCCATCAAGCTCTTCTAAAACTGCTGGAACATTTTTGGTTTCGCGTCTCAACTCAGTGCTGTATGATCGCAAGCTTGTAGGATGACTATCAGATGAAGTTGGCAATGGGTCATCGTCTTCCGCCTTGTCTAGTGGAATTAGCTGAGACATCTTTGTCGCGCTGCGGCAACAGACCTGGCAAGGACCCCAATACAGCGTGCAGGCTGCCGGTACCCTCATCCTCCTTTTGTCCAAGTGGAACGTCATCGTTGCAGTCTGGTCTAGGTGAAGGATCAGGCTGTGAGGTCGAACGACTTCCCGTAGCAATCGCGTCCTGGGACGTATACGGAGCACTTGCCGCACATACCTGCTACGATTAGCAGTCATTCAGCTAGTTGATTATCTCTGCTTACTGGTTCTTTGTTGAATGTAGGATCTTCGATGGTCTCTTGAGAGCTCATCATGCTTGCACGACGGAACGCGTGTTTGGGTCTTGAAATCGCCCTTCTTATGTTTGCCACACTTCTCGTTCGAGAGCCTCTTTTTCGTACGTGTAGGGTTGTGTTCGAAATTGATCTTTCAACGACGGATGATAGACGAATGATAGAAATCCCAGGAAGCCGACACACTGCCATTGCTTTATACCAACCTGTGGCTTGGCATAGTACCTGGCACGGTCAGTGCGTTCATCACAAACGTATACTCCATGAATTGGCTCATCACACGTGCAAACTGCATGAAGATTCATGAAGCAGTGCAAAGGCTCAAGATGGTCACACCATGGCGCACTCAGCCCCTATGATGCAACCTAATCATTCATCTTAACCAATGAAAACTACAGCTCGCTGCGCATGAACGACCCCCACTCCCACAATAGCCACCTTTCAAGTCGCCCCTGGACCTTTTCCCTACAGGGCATGTTACCGTTGAGACTGGGAGTATGCATGCAAAGTTCATGCCGTGATACCTACAGTGACACGGAGGCTGCTCACCCCCCGTATCCGATCACGCCTATGGGAATGGTGTCATCATGACTAATGAGTGCATTGTAAACGTGGCTCGATGAGGTCAAAGACCCGGAGTCTGCCTTGAACAGCGGGCTGGAGGGCAGCTGGGACGACATATCGTGGCGCTGCAATCGGTCCCCCTGGGCGTGGAGCGGGCCGAAATCCAGCTGACCACTCTCCTGCATGAACTTTGGCTCTGGATCTGACCATCACCTTGCCCATACTCTCACTAGATCGAGGCTGTGCGGTGACAGTGAACACGGATCTCCTCTTTATGCATTGAAGACGCGAAAGACCTGTCACAGACAGATGATGTATATGCGACGATACACCATGCGCACGTGTCACGACTGATCCGGGATGCGACTACAATCCCAGCTAGACCAGCATTTGACAGACATGTCTGGAGCACGCCAAAGACGACGGCGGGAATCATCTCTCAGCGAAATGCAAGATACGGCCTACTGTTGCTACGCTTGAACCACTTCGTCGTTGGAAAGACGGCGTCTTGCATCGATAGGGGTTGAGTAGATGTTCGAAAACGCTGATATCCGACATGCCGCGTGGGCTTTGTGGGACAGCAACGCTTCGCATCTCATGGCGGAGGGTGCTTTTCATGCCCTCCAGCAGCAAGGCTCGGCGCGCAGCGCTGATTGCACATCCTAATTTCATGCATTACCTCACCCGTTGGCAGCCCCAGCCCATTCATGTTTCTTAAGCAGGGCACGGTGTGCTACAATGCCACTACAGATGGCATTGCCAGGCGGCTATAATTTGCATCTCCATCCCCTCACTTCCCTGGATCACAGTTTCCCTTGTCTTCCTTCAGCATCCTTCGCCTCTACATTTCCCCCGGGTCACTATCTGCGAGATACTGCGATGCCTTCACCTCAAATCCCGAGCCCAACTCTTTCTAGAAAGCGTCCAAACAGTGACGAGGTAACCTTATAATGCATGACTTATGATTCCAAGCTAATCATTTCCCAGCGCACAGAACGTAGCAAGAAGATCACAAGGACCTACATCGATCTAACAACAAGTCCCGATCTTCTATCTTCACCTCCGCCCAAAACAGATCCATCTGTGGAGCTGGTTGTGCTGGCCAAGATGATAACAGACGAGAATATCTCACTCAAAGCTCAAATCTTATGGTTGACGCACAATAACGAGAGCCTATCACACGATAACGAGAGGCTGTCACTAAGTGAGCAGGAATTGCGAGATACTCTGACAGGCCAACCAATCAGCATCAAATGGGGAAGCTGCAACAACTGCGGCAACAAGTTTGATACTAAGGATGAAGCTACCAGTCTTTTCTTGTTGGAGCTGTGTGGCGCGGTAAAGAATTCCATTCATCATTTTCAACGTAACATACTCATAAGCTTTCTAGCCATGGTGCGGCGGATGTATTAAAGCTGTCAAGGATCGCGTGAAAAATGGTCCCGTATGCGCTCACCACGCTGGGATCGGTGTTCAATCCTATCACAAGGTCTTCTCCACGAAGTGTACAATTTGCGAAAATGATGATCCATGCAGGTTGATTGACATGGACTGTGGTAAGTCTAGCCGTCAAATTATCTACAACACGCATGCTTACCTCGCGCTAGGTCACACAGTTTGCCGGAAATGTCTTAGAGAATGGACTGCCAACAAAAATAACACGACCGTCGCCAGGCTACAATTAGACGACGTATTTCTCGTCCCTTGCGCTTCATGTCGAGACACGGTCGAGTTTGGTGATTTAATCACAAGGCCTTCATTGGAGCATAAGCCGGGCGGCCGAAGATGGGATACCTATCCATGCACCGCAAGACACGCGAGAAGGGCGTGACATTTGTATTTCCATGCGGTCTTTGCATTCGTACTGAGATTTTCAATATATGCATACTGTTTCTACAGATCCTGCTTGGTGATGATAATCATGTGATTGTATGGGCGGTTTCGTCCATTCCACCGCTTATGTTGCGCTTTCAGTGCGTATCCCCTGGGGTAGGTGATTTTGGAATGTGGACAACGACAGCATCAAATACCATGGCCACATCCCTCGATGTCCGAAAAAGAATATGACGACCTCCAATCTTCTCTTTTCGTGCCCAGAGGTTCAGTGCTTCCTCAGCTTGTTGCCTCGTCTTATATGTAACAAGACTATGTCCATCGCCTTCTCGACCGGAACCGAGATCCCTGCCAACATCCGAGCGAACATCATACTCGTCCCTGCCTTACTCCATCATCAACAGGTTGGCGATACTCTTTTCTGCGAGGAACAAGTAGTGAGGTGGAATGGCCTCTATGGGAAGCCTGTCGATGGCACGAAAGCAAGAGCGCGGCAGGTGGAGTTGTACCTCGAGTACCTAGGCACGAAGGACGGTACGCGATGCTGCATGGCTACATGTCTGCTGTTGACGTCTTGCACATGCAACAAGCGGGCATTCCTGAATTCCATCCTATCGGAGAGAGTTGCGGTCGAAAGAATGCTGGCTCGGTTGCGACAGCCAGGTTACCACCTCACGACAGCGGAGAGGAGGTTTGCCAACCAAGACACCAAGTAGGCGCGATGGGATCAGATAACTGACATGCTCGCCCGACACACGCCCTCTGTGTAGATGCGGTATAATGGCTAGGATACATAAAGCAATGTTGAGAATAGAGAATATTCCTGTGTGGATGTGTATTTGACGGGCCTTAGTGTAGCAGTGACGACTGGGGAATAACAGCAGGAGTCGTCGTCAGATCGAGCTGAAGAGGAATGCACATCAAGATTCGGAAGCGATTGATCATCAGGAGTAGAGCAAGTTGGGAAGCGAAGTTGCATTGAGAAAAGTGAGGGTTCAGCTCGCACACTTGCGATGATGATCCACCGGATCCCTTTTTCCAGTTGATAACGCTTCTTTGCGAGAGTATTTCTGTACGCATTATTCCAAGGAAATCAACTCGATGAGCTCGCGGGGTTCGTGCCGTTGAAAGACATGGGTGGGTGGAGGCGGTGGTTCTGAGCCAGTTGATTGTTGACGATGTCACTGCTCGGTCTGAAGCAGCTTCTGGTTTTCCACTTGGCAGTGCTGTTCCTGGGAAGGGCTCGAGGGGCTTGAGCCAAAAACATCTTCCTCCTCAACAAGGAGGGCCTCTTTCTCGCTGAGCCATTTTACCGTAAGATCTTTCTCGCTTTCGGAAACTATGACGGCCATCCCGCCATCCTTGAACCATACTAAAATAAGAGGTATACCACTGTAGGAATCAAAAGATCATTAGTTGGTGTGTGGCTACATGTTGGAGGCACAACTCACGTGGACTGCTTTGCTTCTGGGCAGACTTGGGAACAATCAAGTTTTTTGATTGAATTGATTGATTCTTGATGCAAAAGCTCAATCAATTCAAAATCAATTTACCCTTCGAGATTTTCCAATTAGGAACAATTAGAGGCTTAAAATTGATTGAAAAATTGATCTAATTGATCGTTATTGATCGCAGCATAGGAGGCGTAGGATGAGGCTAGCGGGGCCTACGCAAGATCGATATCGCGATAATTTTTTAGTGTTGAGTTCTTATTAGTCAGCACCTAGGTAACCTCGCAGAAGATCTGTTTCGAAACGCCCTAGCTTATGCAAACACGTTATCTAGTATCTTGTTATAGACGCCTCCTACGCCGCTAATCTACAGTATTTTACGCGCTACGCCTACCTATAATGCCCCCAAAGCCTCCTAAACGCGCTGTTAATCGTGCTGCTGCACCTAATAAACGCGTTAGAGTTAGTCGCCAAAGCCCTCCATCGCAACCTCCATCGCAATTGCAACCCGAGCTGCCTATTACAGCCTCGCCGGGCAGGGCCTTAACGATCGCCGCGAGCCAGGCCGCCAAGGAGACTCCACTCGAACTACAGCTCTTCGATCCGCTACTTAGAGACGCGATTCCTCCGCCAGCTAAGGGCTCAACTGCTGCTACCGAAGCTACAAGCGAGGCAGGCGATATTACTAGCGATACTACAGGCAATACTAGTGAGCTGGATGCCCGGTTTGCTAATACTTTTGACAGCCTTAACTAGGCTGATATACCTCAATATACGAAGCCCTTAAGGACCCTTAAGGGAAAGAAGAGCTGGGTATTCCAGCATGGCTATCGCGTCGCCAAACTCGGCAACCCTACAAGGACTTTCTAGATCTGCAGGTACTGCTATCGACACCAGAACAGAGATGGGATGCGCCCAATAGAGGTAACAACCTCAACAACAGCTGCGATAAGCCATATGGGTCAAGCTCGCGCAGGCCATCGCCTCGATCGTCAAGGCAGGCTCGCTAGTACTACGCTGCCTCGCGGCCAAACGTCTCTACGATTGTTAAGTAACAGCCGTGTAGCTGTATCTCAGGACATTGCAAACACGCTTGGAGGATTTGATGTACAAGGCTTTCGATACGCTGCAGTCAGCTGGCTAGTCGACAACAATCACGCCCTCCGCGAGTTT